TTTTATTTTTAATGTCTTGGAAAAAGTTTTAAATTTTTTTAATGTTTATTTTAAAATTTAGCACTACAACTGAGTAACTGAGCTTAAGGTCAACCGTCTCCTTGTGAGGACAAAGAGCTAACAAGAGCATTATTACTTCACATAATAGATTGAGGTCACCCCCACCGCCCCCCTTGAGTAAAACACACCACTCAGGTGCTCAACCTCTTCCGTAGAGCTCGAGACCTTGTATAACGATTGTGAACTTAGACATTTCAGCACTCAAGCCCCGCACACGATTAGCTATGATTACGTCACTCATTTGAGAGCTGTCCAGGGCTTACGTCACTCAGTCGGGTTTACAAAAAATATTACAGATTGTACAAATGTGGCTTCCTAGCGCATTCTGATAGAAAAAGAACAAAGACGGTTACGCACTATATCAATCAGACAACCGTGATTCTTCTCTCGCCAATCAGACTTTACACGTGTCATCATATTACTAGATTAGCTATTTTTACTTGTTGCCTAAGTATTTGATTTTACACTATAAATATCACCTTCCAACTTAGCGCTTTTCAATTCTCTGTCTCAATTTCTACTACCCCAGGGTTGAGGAAGCCATCAATTGAATCGTGGAAGAACGAAAAAATACCCTAATTAAAAAAAGATGCATTTTACACTACTTTTGCCTGAGTAAACATAATGCACTTTATGTAGGCGTTCTTGCACAACATTTAGTGCACTTCATGTCGCCGTTCACTGTGCGACATATAATGCACTTCATGCACTTAAGTTATGACACTTTAGTTTATCATTTTTTTGCTATGTTTACTTTAGCTTTAACGTTCAATTAACTATAATGTGGGGCGGCAAGAGTGGGAAGACAATGACAGACGGCTGTGCGGCGGTAGTGGAAGGCTAGAGGTTAAGGTTCAAAAAAGGAGTATGAGGTTAGAGTTTTATAGAATTTAATCCATAGAATTTAAATAGATATGGCAAATTTAAATATTGTACGAGTATTATTTTATAAAAAACTAAATAGATCATAATTTTTTAATCAAACACGATACATAACATAGTTTTCGAGTTTATTCATAAAGAAGGATTCTTTCAAATCTTCTTTCTCAAACTAAGGTACTTTTTAACTTATTTACCAAATAAGGAGAGTTTTTGCCTTGTCATCAGTTATAAGTGTCACGTCAGTATTTAATATAGGGAAAACTATCAAATAAGTCCTCTTACTATACCGAAATAGTCTATCAGGCCATCGTACTTTACAAACACTCAATTAAGTCCACGAACTATTAAAAAACGTTCAATTAAGCCCTTTTGGTCGGTAAGTAACCGGTTTCCCGGTTAAATGTAACATGTTTCCCGGAAGCCACTGTTGCTGGAGTTCGAGCACATCGTCGCCATCGTCGTCGTTTAACCGGGAAATCGGTTACTTACCCACCAAAAGGGCTTAATTGAACGTTTTTTAATAGTTCAAGGACTTAATTGAGTGTTTGTAAAGTACGAGGGCCTAATTGACTTTTTCGGTATAGTACGGGACTTATTTGATAGTTTTCCCTTTAATATATTATTTGTACATAAACCGGACACATCACTTGTTTGATTCCAAGAGTAATATATTATGTGTCTAATCAATACACAAGCAATATTAAATAATGTCGTGGCACCGGTAACATGATGACAAGACAAAAACTTCCCTTATTTGAAAATAAAATAAACAAACACTTTGTTATGGGAAATAAGTCTCTATATTCATATTCGAGGTAAGAGCGAGACTGGTCATCGAAATTGCATAAAAGGGTCAAATAAGTCCGTACTGTCCGGCCGTCGCCATTTGGGGAGGTTCCCGATGGATTTTTTTGATGAATTATTTGAACATCCTATTCATCAAGTTTAGTTTACTCATACCCAATTTCTGCTAAAACTTCAACCGGGAAGGCATTCAAATGAATTCTTGAAGGTAACTACACAATTATCTTCAAGACTTTATTTGAATGCCTTTCCGATTGAAGGTTTAGCTGAAATTTGGTATGAGTAAACAAGATTTATTGAATAAAATTCTCAAAAATTTTCACCAAAAAATTCCACCGGGAACCACCCCGAATGGCGACGACCAGACAGAAACTCCTATATAAGGACTTATTTAACCCACCACTTTTATGCAACTTCGGGGACTTGACCCTTACCTTACCTCATTCATGAAAAGCACTTCTTCCCGAGAATGTCAACTCTCGCGTAACAACAAGGAATAATCCCATACCTGAGATAAATCAATAAATATATAAGAGATACTTTTTAAGAGCATACGGTGCGACACATAATTTTGCCATGTCATCATATATAATAATTATTTATTAACTTTTATACCTTTTATTTTCTATCACATTCTATTTTTTTACTGCTTATTGATATGGAAACAAAAGATTGTAGGATAGAATCCACCTTATTTGGTAACTTTTTGAGAGCTTATTACATAGTACTTATTAATTTTGATAGTTATTAAATTCAACAATCCGAACCACAACAATTAATAGCCATCCGTACACATAGGCTATATTTTATTTTATATCAATTATTTAATTACTTTTATACCTTTTATTTTTATTACATTCTATTGAAGAAATAAATTATTCATGTTTTGCCCACCTAACAGATAAACCATCCAAATTCCTATTAATTTTGTTCTTCAAAGTTATTTTATAAACTTGGACTAATATAAAGTCGTCTGAGAATACTAAAATTTAGTATTTAAAATAGCTATTTCATGCCATGAATGAGAAATATTAAAAAGGTGTTTTGAGATGCTTAATAGAGTAATTTAAATTTTAAAGTATGTGAGATAAATTAAGATTTTTTTGTGTGAATTCTTTAAAACCATGTTCATACCAATTATGTTTAGTTCGTTAAAAAACAATTATGTTTAGTTGAGATGCTTATGTAGATGTCTGTTTTAAATATTTTTCATATAATTTTTATTTTTATTTTATTAATGATATACGTAGTACTTCGTACATTTTATTTTATGTTTTCATAATTCAAGAGTCTCCGTCAATTCAGCCCAATCAGTTAGATTTAATTCATTACAGTTGAATCATATGATTCGACTGTTTTTAGTATTATCACATGACTTTATATTAGACCGAGTTTATTTTAATTTTGCAATATATAAGAGCCTGTTTGGTAACACCAAAATCATCTGAATCAGCTGAATTGATAGATTCTGTTGAATTTTATGAAGTTCTGGCTGAAGTAGTTGTATTGCATGTTCCCGCTGATTTATGTAAAAAACTATATTTAAAATATATTTTATTACTTAAATAAGGAAAAATTTATATGGAAAATAGCTAAAATGATTCTCTAATTCCTATTAATTTTGTTCTTCAAAGTTACTTTATAAACTTGGACTAATATAAAGTCGTCTAAGAATACTAAAATTTAGTATTTAAAATAGCTATTTCATGCCATGTTCAATAAGATATATTAAAAAACAAGTGTTTTAAGATGCTTAATACAGAAATTTAAATGTTAAAGTATGTGAGATAAATTAAGATTTTTTTTGTGTGGTTTTTTTTGTGTGGATGCTTATGTAGAAGTCCGTTTTAAATACTTTTCATATAATTTTTATTTTTATTTTATTAATGATATACGCAGTACTCCGTAAATTTTATTTTATGTTTTCATAATTCGAGAGTCTCCGTCAATTCAGCCCAATCAGTTAGATTTAATTCATTACAGTAGAATCAGATGATTCGGCTGTTTTTAGTATTATCAAACGACTTTATATTAGATCAAGTTTATTTTAATTTTGCATCATATAAGAGCTTGTTTGGTAACACCAAAATCGTCTGAATCAACTGAATCGACATATTGTGCTGAAATTTATGAAGTTCTGGCTGAAGTAGACTGATTTATGTAAAAAACTATATTTAAAGTATATTTTATTTCTTAAATAAGGAAAAATTTATATGAAAAATAGCTAAAATGGTTTTCTAATTTCAGCCAATACAACCAGAAAAATAACTCTAACATTAGGTTTTCTTATTATTACACAATTGAGCGCGCGAAAATAAATAGTTCTGTGTTCGGTGAATAAGTTGGCTGATAAGTCATAAAATATGCTTACCAAACGGGTTATAAATAATAAGGACTACTAAGTACTACGTATATGATTAGGAAAAAAAAATCAAATTTACTATAGAAATTGCCCAATATAGGAGTAAACATAAACATAATTGCACAAATAGGAGTAAAACTTAAAACTTCCTTCAATAGGAGTAAACATTAATTTTGTACCCTTAATATCCCTAACCTAGTTAATTCTAAAATATGACTTATTTAATCTTAACCTAGTTAATTTATGACTTATTCAATAATAATAATTTATTTATTTATTTATTTTTCAAAAATAAAAAAAATATATAAAAAAAATTAAAAAATAAAAAACTCAAAAAAATAAAATAAAATCCACCCCTCCTTTGCCGCCTCTGCACCACCATCTCCAGTCACCAGGGGAAAAATGCCAAGTTCATTCCGAATGCCATATTTATGGCAGAAAATAATGAAAATGTTGACATTCGCAAAGAGAAATATGTCATGTTTTTGGCATTTTCAGAAAAAATGGCAGTTTTTAGGAAAAATGGAATTTTTTTCACCGCCCAAAGGTGGTGGTGCAAGAAGGTTGTACGGGCGGTGGGAAAGACATCCATATTTTTTTTAATTTTTTTATGGAGTTTTACTATTTTTTTATTAATTTTTTAAAAAACTAAAAAATTTTAAAAAATATTTTTTATTAATTTTTTTATTTTATTAATATTTTATAAATTTATTAATTATTTTTCTACGAATTTTTGATTTTTTTTCCCGAATTTATTATGAATTAAACATTTAATTAAAAGTTTTTGGGGCTCAGGGCTTGGGTAGAGATTTATACTTGTCTAAACACTAAAGTTAATCTTATTCAATCTCATATTTTAATCTCATATTTTTGCATTTTGGCTCATATTTGGGGAATTCTCTAGATTTACTATTATTAGCGTAATTAGGTAGTGCCCCTGCATCGCAGTGGCTTGAAAACTAGCAGTGTATCAAAAGCAAACACCACCAAGCTCTAATTGGTACTCCCGGTAATAACAAACTGTGGAGGTTCGATAGGCATCGTGTCATCGAATTGTTGGCTACAGTCCTCTATCGACTTCACCAATGGCGGCGGCAGCATCGTCGTCTCATCAGACAGCGGCGGTGTCGCCATTGACGGAGGAGGAATTGGCGCTGACGGTGAAATGGAGCGGTAAAGAATACACCGTGAGAGTCTGCGGCAACGACACTGTTGGCGAGCTGAAGCGGCTGATATGTGAAGTCACAAACGTGCTGCCAAAGCGCCAGAAGCTTCTCTACCCCAAAGTGGGATCCAAACTCGCCGATGATTCCCTTCTTCTCTCTCAAATTCCAATCAAAGCCTCTATCAAAATGACCATGGTCGGGTATGTCCCTCTCTGAGTTTTTGTGTCTTTATGAATGTTACTGTTTATAATGTATAATGTTTAGTACGCTCATTTCATTCCGAGGATGTTATAATAGTTTGCCCCTTCTTTACAAAAAGAAGAGTATTCCATTGAAATCTTGAAACAAAGATCCTGGTATGAATGGACATTGGATGGCACTGGTCACGACTCGGGATGACTATCTTCCCAGAACCTAAAAATAAGATTTTAAGCAAGTAATTGTTCAAAATAGCTGGTTCGATGTTTTCAAGAGTCCTGTTTCTTAATTGATGCTCACCAGTAAAGAGAGCATCTTTCTTGAAATGGTTAAGATTATCAGTACAAATTACAGATCCACATATAAGACATTGAATTCTATTTGATCTTTCTGGATAGAACTTCAACATCTATATGACATCTACTTGTACTCATGGCCTGCGACCAGGAAGTGTAAGAAAGTGCACTCTGCAATTTGGTTTCATATGTCATCTCTTATGAGTTATGTTCATTGCCGAGTTCTGCATATTTTATTTATGTACTAGCTTGTACACACCGGTTAAGGCGCTGCTGTGTGGCCGGTTCACAGGTTCAAGTCTTGGTAGCGGCTTCTTTGCTAAATGACATGGGAAGGCCTGCTCCATATATACCCTTGTGGCGGGGTCCTTCCCCAGACCCTCCCCTTGGCACTGGGCTGCTCTTTTAGCGTTTATACATTATGTTAGCTTGCTTTTCCTTTGAACTGGTGTTTCAAGTTGGGTTTTATGTTGTTTCCAGTTTCCACTATGTTATTGCTAGAATTTATAATTGAACCAAAGACAATCAACCGGGTCCGTAATGCACATGGTCAAACCATACTAAAAGATTGGGTGAAATCAGTGAACTAGTCTAACTCAATGCCTTGTGAATGGATATGTTTTATCTATAATATTCCTATGTAAGTATGTAGGACTCTTAACATGAACTTTTATGAAATGCTGAATAGGGGTTAGTATTCATGCTCATATCTCATGGTATAAACTTTCCTTGACCACAAGCTCATATTTTGTTTGATCTGCAGTACTGTTGAAGATGAAATATTCGTGGATCAGGCCGATTCTGCAGATATAGTTGATGATTTTGAAATTGGTCAGGAGGAAGCTGTTGATATTAAAGATAAAGATGTCAACAAACAGAAACTAAGAAGGCGTATTGAACACTACAAGGTCAGTGACACCCCTGCTTATAACCAAGGTGATGTCTACTTATTTTAATTCCTCTTATCCTTATCAATAAAAGTTTATTTGCTACAAGCCTACAAGTTAGATATGATTTACTTGGAAATTAAATTTCCCAACTAGTACAATTATTTATCATTTTCTAAAATGAGAAAAGATAGAGATGTGGTTAAGTCATCCCACTTGGAGCAAATAATCAAATACTAGTATAACATACAAACTACCAAGATTAGGTCGGGGTTACTCAGCTGGAGTGCTAGACCATGAGGCACTTGGACCAAAGCACAACAAAATACACTCCGGGTATGAATTTAATCTGTTAGTTAGTTCAACCCGAAGTCTTATCATCCCATTATTCTGTTTTTACTTTTCCCTAGTGAGACTCTGATACAAAATAACACATAAGATATCAGTCTACTTGCCCTATAGGGTTGACCGGATGACCGAATGAAACATGGGAGTATGTGACCTCAAATCTTATTATATACTACACTAAAACGAAAGATTGCTTGCTTATCTGGTAGAGCTAGGCATAATCTCAAGAATGCATGTGTGCATAGTGTGAATCTGTCGTATGTACTAGTAACTTTTTGTTGCATCTACTTGTTTCAATGGTCATAATATACAAAGAAATAATTTTAGATTAAGGTTCGTAATCCATGTCGGGAAGGAAAAAAGCTACTTGTTCTGGATATTGACTATACTCTATTTGATCATCGTTCAACAGCAGAGAACCCACTTGAGCTCATGAGACCTTGTAAGTGTTTTTTGTGCTTAGTGTACTTTTCAACACTGATCTTGATGGTAATTACTGTCACATATATGCAGATCTTCATGAATTTCTCTCAGCAGTTTATGCTGAGTATGATATCATCATATGGTCTGCAACCAGGTCGGAACTCACTGTACTGGCATCATTGATTGGTTTTGCTGAAAATTGTGTAACGGTTTATGCTATCACAAATTGATAATTGATCTTTGCTTGCGAAAGGATGTTCTAGAACATCTTGTCATATAAATGGAGATCTTATGTGCTGATCTGTATCAGTATGTGTTAGACAACAGCAATTCCGACACTCCACACAATATAATCAGTAGCAAGTATAGAGAAACAAGATCAGAAGAGAGTTTATTGATGTAGACGAAGAAGTACAGAACGTATACAAGCAGTGGACGATTCGAGATGCCCAATCTCCAAAGTCTAAGTCCAACCTAATGACAGCCTAGCATTCTTAGACTCCAGACTTCTATTTATAGTATTTCTATTTATAATACAAGCCCACTTATTATTATCTACAATAATAGGCCCACTTATTATTATTTCTAATAATAGGCCCATTCCTAACAATACTCCCCCCCCTAAACAACCACCTTGTCCTCAAGGTGGGTGATAGGAATCAACCATGATCTCCCACTTCCACTTCATTCTGGCACCTCTCCCTTCCCAGTACAACATTGCATTCTGGATCTTTAGCTTCAGTACTAGAAGCTGCATCTTCATGTTCTTCTCTGCAAGGAGCAGTAGCAAGGTCCTGGAGGCAGAATGCTCTCTTATGTTGCAAAAGTTTGCATCTTCCAGCATCTGTGTTTCCTGTTGTATCCTTTGCCTTTGTTCCAACATCTTTTCAAGAGAATTGACCTCACTTTGCTCAAGACCTTGAACAAGTTCAAAAGCATCTGATCTCTCCAATGTATATCTTTTCACAAGTAGATACTGCTCTCTAAGTCTCTCAGCCATGAGTTTGATTCTTTCAGAACATATTGAGGATAAGGCACATCCTACTCCCTCACAAAAAACAACATTTATTTGCTTATGAGTATCTTCATCATAATCCAGCAGCATCTTCCATAAAACAGAAATAATCTGAGGAGTTTCATCTCTAAAGGGATAACAGAGCAAACCAGCTTTAACCTTTACAAGGACACCCATCCGAACTTCAGCTGTTCTATCAGTACACATCTTTAGGACTTCCAGAAATACTGGTTGAAAAGCCTCCTTGATTATATATTTGGGTACAGCAAAGATATCCTCCAGCAAGCTAACCACTTTTATTAATGTATCCCTCTGATCAGTCTCCTTGCAGCATGGAGGATATACAAGTGTAGACTGCTCCTGTCAAACACTTGCCGGCTAGCTTCAAGTCCCTTTTAACCCCATTAGCAATGACATTTGCTACCCCAAACAATCTTCTCATCTCAAATGCATTCATTACTAGATTTGGAGTTCTAGTGGCAGACTCAACATCAATTGATAATAAAGCTCTATTTCTTTCAGAAAAAGTGCAATCACCTGAAGGTCCTCCTGAAAATATGGCATGGGGTTCACCTTTAGGTTCAGCGGCATCTGATGCTTTTTCCTCGCTTTCATCGTCGCCCTTAGTGCACTTCTCTGCATTTTCTCTGACAAAAGAAGCACTCCTATCATCAGAGGATGGTTGCTGCTCCCTTACAGACTCCTGCAGGACTGTTGATACCTGCGTACAGTGAGAAGTGATTTGCGACATAACCTGCGAACTGGGGATTTCTGCTTGTGGCAAAGTTGGCGAACTTGTAGAAGGTGCTTGTGACTGAGACGACCGACACCTGAGAACTGGAAGCTATTGTTCGCGACAAAGCTGAAACAGTTTGCGATGCCATCTGCGAACGGGAAGCTTCTCTCGATAGAGTCTTACTTGGTCGTGAACTGCTGGTGGGTGATGAAGTTCGTGATTTCGAACTGTGAGAAGAAATCAACTCAGGTTGAAATCTACAAATGATAGATTTCTTCAGAGTGTCCTAATTAGTTTCTTCAGTCTGGTACTCCCAGGAATGAAACCAATTCAAAGCCCTATCTTCCATTGCAACCCTAGAAGCTTCAACCTTCTCTTCCTCTTCAAAGTCATTTAACCGAAAATACCTCTCCATTTGTATAATCCAGTTATAGGCTCCTTCGCCATTAAACAGAGGTAAATCTACCTTTCCACCAGGTATTCTAATATGTTCATCACTACGCCCATGATTATGAACATTAGAATGAACTGAATTACCTCTTGAAGCTACTGGACTGATCGAAGCTCGCGTATGAGGTTGCTGAGGAGTTTGCGATACAGTTTGCGAACTGGGAGAAAAGATTTGCGATGAAGATGAATGAGGATAAACAGTTCGTGACGAAGCCTTAGAACTGGAAGTGTGAGGAGCGGATGGTGAAGACATCTTCGACCCAGTAGTAACCACTCGCGATCTCCCTCTCCCCTGAAATTGTTCATTCCTCGCAGTTAGCTGTCTGGTTATGTTTTCCGCCATCTCTCTTATTTCTGTTAATTTATTCTTCATCGATACCTGCATCCTTTCCAGCGAATCCACCCTGTTCTCCCGCGAATCCACCTTATTCTCCATTCTTGCTCTGTCCAGACCATCCACAGCTGAAACGGAGAAATTTCTGATGTTGCGTATCTTTTCTGATCACTAATACGATCACCAGAAACGTATGCTCTGATACCAATGTTAGACAACAGCAATTCCGACACTCCACACAATATAATCAGTAGCAAGTATAGAGAAACAAGATCAGAAGAGAGTTTATTGATGTAGGCGAAGAAGTACAGAACGTATAAAAGCACTGGACGATTCGAGATGCCCAATCTCCAAAGTCCAAGTCCAACCTAATGACAGCCTAGCAATTCTTAGACTCCAGACTTCTGTTTATAGTATTTCTATTTATAATACAAGCCCACTTATTATTATCTACAATAATAGGCCCACTTATTATTATTTCTAATAATAGGCCCATTCCTAACAGTATGTTACCAGATGGTCCTTCCCCTTTGAAAGAGCTAATGCATACTATGTTTATATTTCATTCATCTTTTGCATCTATGAACTTTTTTGAGGGTTTTTGAATGGGAATGGGGGCGATGAGCTTGTGATATGGAGTTCTGAGTATTTGCATAGGACAAGGAGACTATAAAAAAGCTAGAATGGAACACAGGGTGGGGTGATTAATTAATGAGTTTGAACTGCACGTATTAATTTAAACACAGAAAAGTTTCAACTATGTGTGGTAAAAGGGTCAGAAAAAGCTTTAGTTAATGCTATGAATATGACAAAGAACTGAAGAAGTCCTTTTAGTGATGGTGTGTTAACTAGTCTTTTTTATTCTCTTAACCAGCAATTCCAGCCTTCGCTGGACCTTTATCTGCTTATACCATCACTCATAATTTTTTCACTGTATATATGCATGTCAATTTTTTATGTTATGTTTGATCATGCATCTTTTATGCTTTCAGCATGAAATGGGTGGAGTTGAAGATGGAACAACTTGGTGTTCTCAACAATCCCAACTATAAAATCACTGCAATGCTAGATCATTTAGCAATGATAACTGTCCACTCAGATACTCGTGGAATCATTGACTGCAAGCCACTTGGCCTAATTTGGGGCCAATTCCCCGAGGTTCGATGTCGACTCCCTCTTTCCTTTCTCTTAATAGACCATAGTCAGTTTGGGATGTAAACCTTCAAAAGATGTTGACTTGTATGCTATGCTCACTCTTCAATTGAAAGTAGGAGGCATAATTTTTGATAAAAGAAAAAAACCACTTTTAGTACCACAACTACTAGATCATTTTTAGATTCTCATTTTCCCCCGCTTGACCCACAGTTAGGGGTTTCTTGTCACTTTCGTTCTTTATGATCACTTAGGATGTCTTTAGTTGGAATTATTTCAGTCTCAAACCAGACTAGATCAAACCAGTTCACACCAAAGCACACCAGACTAGAGAACTTGACAGTTATAAAATACAGAGAGACTAGACATTTACGAGACCAACAAAAACATCTGAAATTGCACGGACATTGGCCGTACAAGTGATGCGAAAGACCAATCGTGGCAATCAATTCATAATCAAGCACCAAAAGTGGGAAAATGAATGCCTGTACAAAAGTGAAAACGACTGTCCTAGGGCTTAATTGATAACATAGAATTCTTAATTGGGGTTGGGGTACATAATCCACATGGATCAAATCACAATTGAATTAGATCAGCTTGTCAAACCCCAAAGCTTTACAGACCCCAGCGTGGGGGGGGGGGGGGGGGACCGGGGTCGGTTCCACTTCGGTTCTGGGTAGGGGTAGGGAGGAACATGAATCATAACTGTTAAACCGGTTCCGGTCCTAACTTGGAGGAACCGGTCACACCGGTTTTGGATACCTGTTCCAGTACATCAGGAGAGGTCCGGGCAACTGGTCCTGTTCTTTAGCTTTCCGGTCCAGTCCGGTCTTGTTTCAGAACCGGAACCAGTCCACCCCTAACCTAATGTAACAGTGGCGGGTAAGAAAATCTTTCTTTTCTTCTTTGGAACCTAACAAGTTTTATGGGTTGCCCCGACACGTGTCTAAAAAAGGACTCTGTTATTCTTGAAATGGTGCAGTTTTACAGTTCGAAGAACACTATAATGTTTGATGATTTGAGGAGGAACTTTGTAATGAATCCACAAAATGGTCTGACCATAAAGCCATTCAAGAAGGCACATGCAAGTCGGAGCACTGATCACGAGCTCATGAAGCTTACCCAATATTTGCTTGCCATTGCTGATCTTGATGACTTAAGTGGCCTCAACCACAAGGATTGGGAATCATACAATGAGGACAATGTTAAGAGACGCCGACATACTTGACACACTCGGCCACCCAAAATGCTTGTTAAGCCAATTTAAGTTCGATTTAAAGTGCAGCCCCTAGCTATTACACATATCTCAACCGCAGAAAATGTTTTAAATTATTCTTTTGCTAGTGGCTGTAGATCATACACATTGATCGACCGTTCTATACAGCAGATTTGATTGAGCTATATCATATCTGATTTCCGCTGTTTGGTGTTTCTATTTATTCTATTAGTTTATGTATACCTGGCGTATATTACAAGTGCATTCTCTGTTTTTAGTTCTTCACAATTATGATCACTATTTCCTTCAAGTCCACCAACTTTTAGGATTGATATTGATACGTTTGCATATTTGTATAATTGTGAAGATTGGAATCTGCCTGTGAGAGTAAGATCCAGTTGATCACATACCATTTCTTTTTTAATATTAGTGTAAAATCAATTGAAGCCTATAAATCAGGATACATGAATATTAAAGGACCTTAATATTAGGCATTTATTTTTCTAAACAAGGTCTTATTTTTAGTTAAAGTTGTAGTACTATTTCAAGTACCACAACTATTTCCACGACTATTTTTAGTTACCAAGGAAAAGTTCTACTACGTATGTTATTACTTAAACACTACTATTTCACCGTGCATTGCAGAGAATGCTCTAACCAATCATTAGGTAAGTGTTATAATAAAAAAATGACAACCAAAAGTATAATTTAGTGATATATATGATCATAATAAAAAATCTATCTATAACAATTACAATTTCTTATGAACATCTTTTATACAACAATTTATTGTTTTATATAGTAAAGCTGAGTTATGAGTAACTTATTTGTTAATCTCTCATGGGCTAACAAACAAATAAGGGCTCGTTCGGTATCGTTGCAGTTTTTAAGTTTCCGTTTTTTTTCTTTAAAAATAAAACAAAACACGTTCGGTGAAAGTTACTTCCGTTTCCTAATTCTAGAATAATATGAATTGTTTTTTAAAAACAGCAACGATATTATCAAATCCACAAAAGGTCGTTTCCGGATATATTATATCGCTCTCTTCCATGCCCGTCTCCTTCAATATAACAAAAACCCTACGTTCTCTAGTCTGGTTTTCTCTATCACCACTGAACACCCATCTTCTCCATCGGCAATCAACCTGCTGCGGCAAGTCTGCCTCCAAATTGCAGGGTTTCTTTCATCTGCTTCTATTTATTATCTTTCAGCTCTGTTAAAAAGAGTAGTTTATGTTCTAGTTTTTTTAATCGTCTGGATGCTTAAAAAAATTGTATTTTCTAACCGGTGAGGATTTTTTTTAATCTTGCTGAAACATACGAAAGACAATACTCATCAGGGAAGTGTGTAAAAGTAGTGTATTTATTAACATACGAAAGTTTTTGTTTGCTATACATACAAAAGTTAATTTTTGCTCCCACCAAAGATTAATACCAAAATGATAGCAGGACCATGTTACGATGAAAGACAAATGATGTTTCTTCATATTACTGGGTTTTCACTTTTAATGCTTGAATACAATTTTAGGGACTACTCTTTGTGCTATCAATTTGTTATTCAATTTCTTCTGAACTACTCGTATTGATTAGTATTTTAATTCATGGATAGATCTTGACTTACTTTTAAGATGTTGGTGTAGATGCAGAATTTAAGTCAAGATTTTGATAATGAAGTAATAGAAGTGTCTAGCGACGGAGCTGTTTGGGATGTGAGAAACGAAGAATATTTCATTGATTTGATGGTGGATGAACTTAACAAGGGGAATAGGAAAACTACTACTTTCACTAAAAGTGCTTGGGCTCAAATCAGAGATGAATTGAAAAAAAAACTCAAAGAGAATATACTCAAGCACAAGTGAAGAACAAATTTAATAGTCTTAGGACTCGTTGGAAGTTGTTTAAGCAGCTGATTGGTGAAACTGGAATGGGATACAACTCCATCACCGGTAATGTTGTTGCAAGTGAAGAGGTGTGAAAAAAAAATGTTTGCGGTGAATAAGATGGCGAGAAGATTTACGTTATCGATTCTGGTTATACTAACATGCCTGGTTTTCTTAGTCCATACCGTGGAGAACGGTATCACTTGCGTGATTATAGAGAAGGTCCAAATCCACGAGGCCCTGAAGAGATATTTAATTATATGCATTCGTCATTACGTAATGTCATTGAACGTTGCTTTGGAGTTTTGAAAGCCAGATTTCCTATCCTCAGAGACATGCCTTCTTATTCAATTAAGCGTCAAAAGTATATAGCTCTTGCTTGCTGTGTGATTCACAATTTCATAAGAATGCAGGGATGTATGGATAAATTATTTGTTGAATATGCAAATGAAACTGTAGAACTTGAAGATGAGGAGACAAACAATGGAGTTGAATCTAGCGGTTCACGCGAAGCTATTAATATTGCTCCAAGTCAACTTCAACGAATGAACAATCTTAGAGATAGAATAGCAAAATCTCTTTGGGAAAATTATAATGCACAGTTCCTTTTGATGTAATATGATTAGATGCTTTATAAGAGATTATACTTTTTGTATTGTGATTGTTTTTTAATCTTTATTGAATTGTGGTATGAATTGTGAGAATCAATATAATGCTATGTATATATATATATTCGTTTGTTCAAGGAAAAAGAGGAATTTCAATTTGTGAAACAATTTTGAATCAACACTAAAACCAAAACTGTTTTCAGAAAAGTGAAAATAAAAAACGCAAAACAGTTTTTTGATTTCTAAAAACAAAAAACATAAAACACAAAACCATACCGAACGGGCCCTAAATAAAATCACTTTTAATTCAACTCAATATTACGGGGCTAAAAAAGCTAAGCATTAACTACATCCACTCTTCATGGGTAATTAATAGCTAAGTTAGCATGTACCGGCTAATTCAATTCAATAGGACTCTTCATGGCCAATTAACACTCCCTAGCTAATATAGTACTACGTAAATCTTACCACAAAAAACTCCACAGTTTATAAATAAATTAGCATGTACCGGCCAAATAGGACTCTAAAATACTTTTTTAAATCGAGCAGATCAGATTTAAATATATCATAAAATATCAGATTTCGACAGTTATAAAATACACAAATGTCAGACATTTATCAGACTAGATCAGATCAGTTAAGACCAAACAAGATCATACCAACATTAAACACACCAGACCAAATTAGAAAATTTCATTCCAATTAAAACATCCTAAATGACTTCACTCTTCATGGTGAGTTAATGCGTAAGAGATAAATCACCTATTATCAGTTATCATAATACAATTTATGGCTATTTATATCGTTAGTCAAAGTTTTCTATTGTTTCATATAGTATACTTGAGTTATAAAATGTCAAATAAGTTATTCATAACTCAATTTTACAATATAAAACAATTGATCATTATAAAACACATAATTAAGAGGGCGTTTGGTAACGGTGTTTATCGGCTTATCAGGCTTATCAGTCAATTTTTTCACCAAACACATAATTTTTGTTTTCGCGCGCTGAAATGTGTAATAAGCAGAAAAAGTAAGGTTGGAGTTACTTTTCTGGCTGTATTGGCTGAAATTACTGTAGAAGATCATTTTAGCTATTTTTACATATAATTTTTTCTTTATTTTATTAATAAAATATATTTTAAAAGTATTCTTTTCTTAAATCAGCAGAATCAGCAGCTAATGCAGCCACTTCAGCCAGAACTTCATAAATTTCAGCAGAATCAGCCAAATCAGCCGATTTTCGTGCTACCAAACGGGCTCTAAGTGTACAAAAGAGTTAATATAAAATGAATTTAATTTTATGCATCAAAACTAAGATCTTCACTAAATTGACACAATAACAAATACTTATTCTATTATAAAGCATGTCTAAAACATATGCCAACTTTGCTAGAGTATATATATACCTCTTCCCTCTCATTGTCATTTTAATTTGGCGCATGTTGAAAATACGGATAAAGTAGTAGTTTTATATTTTTAACACGCAAAAAGTACAAAAGTGTAGTATGCATTCAAAATGAAGTGATTAAGAAAAAATTTCACTTTTGGTCCCATGACTATTATACCACTTCCACATTTAGTCCCTTACTTTCAGATTGTCCACATTTAGTCCGTGACCATTATCCCCTCACCACTCCTCGTCCTTCCGGCTAAAATTCCGGCAAATTTAGCCCACTTATCAGTCTCAGAATCAGTCTTTGCATTAAATTTTATATAAGGTTGGGTTTTTCATATCAGTCTTTACATTAAATTTGGTTTTTCATACCTAAAATCTGCATCAAATTTGCCGGAATTTTGGCCGGAAGGACGAGGGATGGTGACAGGATAATGGTCACGGATTAAATGTGGACAATATGAAAGTAAGACACTAAATGTGGAAGTGGTATAATAGTCATGAGACCAAAAGTAGAATTTTTTTTAGTGATTAATGAAATGAAAGATAGTAAACAAAGTGAGAAATAAAAAGTTGATGTTAATTCAGAATAAAATTATATACTTTGGCAGACAAAAAGTAAAACGTGTTTTACAAAATCGAATGGAGGAGTAACAAAATTAACCCGGTCAAAGACAAATATGGACAATGATTTTAAATTGTGAACCAAAACACGGGCTGTGGTCGCAATATTGTGGGTGCAATCCGCAGCGCAACCGCATCGGGCGCAATGGCAGTGATATACATTTCGATTTACGGGAAAATTCACAATTAACAAAACCGCAACATGGTCACAATGAGGCAACATCGGGTTGCATCAAACCGCATCAAGACTGCAACAATAAGCTATTTTTTTTTTATTTCGTTCGAACGTAAAAATAATTCACACCGTATCAGTTGTAATAGCCGCATCCACGGCAAGCACAATTTTAAAACATTGATATGGACTTAGTGTAAGGGTCTGTTTGGTAACACTAAAATTAACTTAATCGGTTCAATCTGCTTAAATTTATAAATTTTTGGATGAAATAGCCGGATTTGATAAAATTTGCTAAATAATGGAAAATTTACGTATAAAATATATTGTATTAATCAAATCAAGAAAAATAAAATGAAAAATATCTAAAATTGTCCTCTGCAAAAACTTCAGCTAATTTAGCAAAAAAAGCAACTTCAACATTGCTCATTATGATTATTACGTAGTTCAGCGCATGAAGTCAAAAACTAGATTTAGTTTTTTTTGTTAAAGATGCGATGGATAAATAAAAACTAGGTTTAGTAAAACAATTGATTGATAAGCTAAAAATAGAGACTTCTAAAAGGGCTCACTCTAAATATACTTCGTATAATATATGATAGATGGATAATTTAATAATCACTTAACAAATACGAGTTTATAATT